GACTTTGCCAAGGATGAGAAGAGTTTAAAGGAAAAAATGGTCCAGCCCCTGGACAAGAAGTCTGTTGAGAATTCCTAAATAGAAAAGCTGCACCAGACTCAGGAAATCCCCAATATGAAAACGGTTTGGATCCGGGGAAAGGGTCAGGTTAAGTCCTGTATGTACAGTTGTCCTGGTTTTATGCAGACATTTTATTAGGGCCACAATTGGAGCAGGATGCACTCTTACAAGAAAAAATAGGTACACAAAGAGAAACGCAGAGCATCTTTACCATCAATAAACGTGTAAATAAATTCTCATTGCTAAGAAAAAAATTATAAAAACATATAAACACAACAAAAATTGCTTCAGGAAGGTGAAGCATAGCTACTGCTACCAAAACTCCTAGTGTCACATAGGATTTTCTGGACAGCAGAGATGAAAAGGAGGAAGAAGATTCTGAAATGATAAATTGGTGCATTTTCAATGGTTCTATGGGCAGTAACCCATCTTTCCTCAAGCCACATGCAGTGCATTTCTCCTGCTGTCATCTAACCCATGCAATCCTACCTGTAAGACTTCCCAAGCTCATCTAGGAGCTGAGTGCCACCAATAGCAGCGGTCTTGCTCTCCTGCTCCAGGCCATGCTGGCCCACTGCTCCTACACTAGTTCCACTTTGAGTAGAAACTTCCTTGTACTCAGCTAACTAAAGTAACAGAAAACAAAAGTAGAGAAATCACAAATGTTTCTGTTGGTTTAGTGAGATAAATCAACTGTCCAGGGAGTCATTCAGATGAAAGAGGCAGGATCGAGCATTAGTTCAGTCGCCCTTCAACACAGCTTTTAGCTAAACCTGCAAAATAGAATGAGTTAAAAAGGATGTTCTGAATGCTTTCAGTCAAACTCATTTTTAAGCATGTTTAGCTCTCATTCAAGGAATCCATTTATACTTTAAAAATAAAACGGTGCATATCAAGACCTCAGTTACCATGCAGCCTACTAAAATCGCTTGCATTAAAAATGTAGAGGCAACATATATGTTGCTGGAAAAGTGGTAAGGGAAGTCCAACAAATAACTGGTAGCAATGACTTGCTGTGTACCTAGAGCCTGAGTTTGCTGAGTTAAAAAAAAATCTTTTTCCTAAGTACGGAGAACAGTTTTACCATTTACTGGTTTACTGTGCGAGTGAGTACAGTAAGCTATTATTTGGAGTTAAGAAATCTTCTGAATACTGGAAAGACTGGGAAATTTAAATCATCATCCTCTCTATTACTGGATGCAAGGGACCAAGCTGGTACTACATTCTGAAGAGAAAAAAAGGCCAGAAATGCACACATCTGTTCACTAACTATAGATAGTAACAATTCCCCTTTCATATAAAGACATTCTGAATGCAAAGCAACTTTTCCCCCTGCTGTAGTCACCTCATCTGAGTTTGTACTGCCTAATGACTAAGGACACCTTGAAGTCCAAAACAGAACCAAATACAAGATTGTATCCCAACAGCTCCATGTTTGAAGGTTCATCCCTTATAGATCCTTATCAAGACACTACTGCACTAACAGTCCAGTTGTTTCATAGCAGATTCCACTTCAAATCTGATGGATTACATGCTTTACAAACGTTTTGTAAAATATTTTACCTTCACTCAAGCTTTTAAGAAATGCTTTAGCATTAGTTTCAGGTTTCCCTGAAAAAAAATCTCCTTCTAACAAATACTAGCACTTGCCAGCAGATAAGCATTTCTAGAACCTTATTTGGAAATCACATCACCAGCAGCATATTGTCAATGAGACATTTATCAAAGAAGGAACGGTACCACAGGATCGAAGAGAAGATCAATTCAAAGTTTAACAAAGGAGAAAAAATAAGTGGAGATTCCAAATGGCATCTAAGTGCTACAGTGCTATGCAGAGCATTGAGCCCCAGCTCTCCGAGAGCCACAGCACCCCACCTTTCAGGCCTCAAGCTTGAGCTTTTTTTTTGTTGTTGCTGTTGTTCAGAGCAACCTTTTGCAGCAGGTCTACCAGCAAAAGCAAACCATGGGTTCTCTGCACACTTGCCCACCAGGGTTGCTAACCAGCACATCACAGCTAGGTGCTGCAAGACTTTTCACAGAATCACAGAATGGCCCAGGTTGGTAGAGACCTCAAAGATCATGCATCTCCAACCCCCCGACAGGCCAGCAGGTCACATAATCTGTGAGTTTTCAAAAACACAAAGAAGTAGACTAGCTTACCATCAGATATGTGAGCCTCAGGCCATAGAACAATGGGGTATTTTTGAAAAGAATTTGAAATGTTCCTCGTGATATTGCTTTATAAAAGATAATGGCCTCATTTTACTTCCTGCTTTGGAGCAACGAGAATTTCTGTGTTATTTACAAGTTGATAATACAAGAATGTTTACTGTTATGTTCAGCTTGGCACGTAATATTTAGGAGCTGTGCTATAAATGTACAGATTAACATTGTTGGGACCGAAAAGACCAGCAGCTTTTAAAGCGTGCACACAAAATGTAGAGAACTAACAAGCATTTAAAGAAACAGAGAAATTCCATTGGAAAGTAAGAAATGCATTTCTCAGTTGTGTCCAACTCAAACATTTCATCTTTGTACCAGAACAAAGACACATGAAATTGAAAATCACAGAAGTGAAACCATCTTATCTGTTTTTGCCACTTGAGGAAAAAGGTTTTCAAACACTTATTTTGTATGTTTGGCAGCTGTAACTGTGTTACTTAAGCTTAACAATTCTTTAGTTTTTCAACGGTTTAATTACAGGCAACCTCATCAGAGAAGTTTGCTCTGCATCAAGTCTGCAGTTGAACATGGGAACACCCCACAGAAGCTTAGCAGAGCGACAGCCTCCTTGTATTTGTGCTTCTAAAACACCTTCCATGCTGAGCTGCTGACCCATAGCAATAAAAAGTAACGTACACATGCATTCATGATTCACTTATCTAAGTTTCTCCACGAAACTGTTACATATCACCTCTTTCAAGACTGCTGTGAACAAGTACATACAAAAAGGATGTACCTAAATGGAAACTTAACAGATGAACTCAGCAAACAAAACAGCTGAGAGACAAAGCACTCCCAGCAGCAGCAATATCTGCAGTATCATACACACCTACAAAAGGTTTGCAGAGGGCAACACCAAGCACTGGAATGCAACATTGAAAAGCTTTTTCCTCGCACGCTGCTAATTTAAACGTCTGCAGAACTATCCCCAACTGAACTCCATGGGCTGACTCTGCTGGATTACATTTAATAACCGAGCCACAAAATGGACATGGGTAAAACACTGACAAATGCATAACATAATTTAAGAAGCTAAGTCAGTCACAGTTTCTCCAATGGATGTACGAACACACAGCATGTTTTGGTTGCAAACATCAGCTCCATGATTTCCAGTACGATTCTTCAATTAGTGAAAGATTCAGAGGCCGTGAGGTTTAAAATGAAGTGTCAAATAATAGGTCAAAATTACCATTCGTTAGTTCTCTCAGGGGAAATTCCTAGGACTGCTGAAATGCCAGTGCCAACTGAGAAATTGTTTCATCAGAAAACATACATTAACTATTTAATTTCTGCTCAGTAAAATCCTGTTTCTGTGGCTATGACAGAATCCATTCCAACAGCACCTGCAGGGAGCCAAAGACTGACACCAGCAACATTACACTTCTTCCTTCATGCTGTACACGTTGTCTGTACTGCACATTGCTGATAATTTGACAGGTGTTTAAGAAGTTCCAGGAGTTCCTGCTATCCAGAAGAAGTGATATCACATATCTACCAGATCAAAGTGCTGGAGGAAACAAACACTGCTGGCTTGAAAAAGATCAAAACAAAAACATTTCCCAACCTTTGTAAATGTTAGTGAACATAGCGACCGACTTCAGTAACATGTACCCAAGCCAGTGCAGAAGTGTTAACAGGAAGAAGTCCCACACCCACTTTAGAAATAAATGAACAAATAAAGGTACAGGAATTTACTCACAGTGTTACAAGGGCTAAGCATCTTGCAGGAGCTTTTTCTACCCACTTAAAGAAGTTGCTTCAACTTTCTTCCATGAAGAATGAAGTTCTGTGCCCCCTCCCTAACAGCACTAACCAGTGCTTGTATTGTACAAACTGGAGCCACACAAGAAAAAAGCTTATGATACACTCTCCCTTTTATGAAGCACTTAAGATACTGAAATACTGCTTGAACACAGTCTGATGAAGAGATGTATCCCACAAATCTGAAGCTATTAGGAACAACTTAGCAGTTATTGAAATACAGCCATTCCAGCACACTTTCTGTCAGGGACTGTTTAAATCAATACACCACTTCTATATCATTTCACGTAGCCATCTTTCATTGTTCTGTAACAACATTTGGAAAAAGCAAATATCATCCATTAAAAAGTCATAAGAATCAACAACCATGCATACAACATTTGGCCGTATTATACTAAGCTTCCACACATTAATATATTCAGAACTTGGAGAAAGGAGAGGCTTTCACAAATCATTAACCTGCATTATTAACTGTTATGGCATCCAACAGCTTGCTCATGGTAATAGCATGTGGCACCTTTTCTACCTTCTCTTACCATGGTCATATCCCTCTGTAACATGCCCATAATGTGTTTATAACTTGCAACAGCTCATAAATGATTTATAAAGAAATCTGAAAGTAAGATGTGCCCTTGTATCTTCTCTTTTTCTTTCAAACCATCTGGGCTCCAAAGACACAATATGTGGAAGCACAAGGCAAAGATGAAAACAAGATCTAGCTGGTTTTAGGATGATAGATGTAGAAAAAGGAGGGTTGCTTTGTATGAAAAATTACATCCAGGGTATTGATTACTCTCACTATAAGCCAACATTGCGACAGTATGATCATACAACAATTTTATGCACAGTTTAAATAGAGCAGAGCACCTGAAAAAGAGGTAGTTTACATATACCTAGCTGAACTGCAAGATCAACTTCAGCACAGAACTAAGCCTTTAATCAGTGCAATCGCTTACCAATTTCAGCAGGTAGTTGCTTGATTTTGTTCTCTCGTATGCTAAGCATGGTGAGTTTTGACAAGTTTTTGATATCCTTTTCCACAGTAGTTATACGATTAAAGCGTAGGTAAAGAGTGGCGAGAGAAGTCAGTCTGTACACCACTGAAGGAATCTCTCTCAGTTTGTTATGCCGCAGGTCAAGCATGCGCAGTTTCTTCAAGTTATCAAGAGAGTCAGGCAAACTGGTGAGTGAATTCTCACTCAGGGCCAGTGTCATCAGGTTCACGAGACAGCCCACCTCTGCTGGTAGAGACTGCAGTTTGTTACTGTATAAATAAAGTTCTGTTAACTGCGTTAACTCTTTGACAGCTGATGGAAGCATGTGTATAGACCTCTTGGACAAGTCCAAGCGCATTGAATTCTCTTCCCGGCATTTATTTAGCTCTTTGATCACTTCAGCATTGCTGGATTTTTTGCGGGTACCTGTGGCTGGATTAGGTCTTTTTATCGTATTGTCCACTGAAAAAGCTACCCCAGGCTGCGTGCTACTGGAGTCTTTCTTTCCATCTTTGGCATCTTTCCCTTTGGTCTTGGGTTCCTTCTCTTTGCTTTCTTTCCCAAATCCTCCAGAGGCTTTGGCCTCCTTCTCCCTTTCTTTTGACGACGGGACTTTTGGATCCTTCTCTTTACAGTCCTTTTCTTTTCCTAGATTACTACTCATGGTGACTCAACACTTAGCAAGCACCACATGAAATCCACTTCTGAAGTTAACAAGAGCAATTCACTGTTGTGGCTACAAGGATCCTTAAAACATGCAAGTGTTGAACCAAGGGAGGAGCTTCAGAGGTGCGATAACCCATTTGCTACATATTGGTTCTGAAGGCACTCTTTTCCTAATCCTGGTCTCAGGAGATTCAGCTGTTAGAGATTAGAAGGTCAAGCGCTCCGTATTAGTACTTCTGTAACAGAGGAGAGAAAAGAAGCCAAAGTTAGCATAAATATAAAACCTCTCTTCCAGTTAAGAGTTGAATGTTTCTACTTCAAGCCAGCACTTGTTCAGGTTAATATTTGTCCATCACTTAAACATCAGCAAAAAAACTGAAAAGCCCAATGGTAATACAAAAAATACTACATCCGTGGCTCTGAAGACCCACTGCAGAAGACCTATAGTAATTAGTATACGTGGAAAAAAAAAAACAACAACATAATTCTTAAACATAATACAGCCTTATGTATTTGTGTACAGTAGCACATTTCAGTTGTGAGCCACCCTCTGACGTCATCGCTAGTTCTCAACACAACACCCTGGTCATAAACATGAATGTTCTTTATTGACCTGATGGAAGAGAGATCTGCTTTAATTTTAAGTGCCTGTCTCTTCAAACAAACCTATAGTCTCATTCTTTCAGCACAAGAGAGCCTCAATTCAACCTGCAGTGAAATCTAACGCCGCACTGCAACACAACACTGTGCTTTGAGATCTGCTTTCTGACCTGCTGAGCCACAAGCTGTGCTCTGCTTCCAGCACAGGACAGCATGCAGTCAGCAGTCACCTGCAGAGCTGGAATATTAAAAAAAAACCTGAAGTTCATTTTCAAATAAACCTACTGAGAAGTCAACCGAGAGCTCTGAAGGAATAGATCATGTTATCCTTCCAGACAAGCAAAATTAGGAAGGAGTTTCTCATAAGGATAGGTTATAGCACGTCTTTTAACGGTACCTTGAGCTTTTCCACCAATGGCTATAATGCAGACTAACTGAAGAGATGTCTGAAACCTGCAGAGCTCCTTTTACCTTTCTACAAAATCATCATCACGTGTCACAGACAGCAGCACAGACTCACGTATGAATTCAGAACGCTGGGCACCCCCCCCAAAGGACTTCACAATTCTGAATACTCTCAAGAGGTTTTCGAATTTATCTCCATGGAAGAAAATAAAAGGACAATCAACAGCAGCAAGAATTTCATGTTCTCACATCAGCCCACCATTTAACCTGGAAATAACTTTTCTTTGCAGGGCAGCATTCACTGTCAGAGTACTGCTGGCAATCTTGAAGAGCCCCTTGCTTTTCCCAGGCACAGGAGCTGCTAGAATCTCCTTAAGGCCACCACAGGAGCTCTGCCTCTTCCCTGACATTCCATCCTCTGCATAAGTTCATAAAGCTGATAACCAAAATCAATTAAATAATATTTTGCATGCTTGAACCATTAGCAAGAACCAGAACTAGAAAGCCTTTCCCAGCCCTCTGCCCGCATTCATTCCTGTGGCAGCATCACAGACTGTGCTACAAACCCCACAGCAAAACCCTGCTGCTCCCAGTAACCATATTCTGGAGCACTCTGCTGCAAAGGGCTACAGCAGGCTGGGAGCAGCAGCTTTTAGCTTCTCTCCAGCACAGAGATTCCCAAAGCAGCATAAGCTGGTTCCTTACTACATACTTAAGATTTTATACCCAGCTTTTAAACCATCCATTAACCTGTCCTAATCTCAAGATTACCAGCCTCGCTACATTCTATTTTAAAACTTCTCTGTGCTGTATAATCTACATGCTTGCAAACCTCCAGCAATAGGAAATGCAATGGCTACATGCAAAAACCCAGCTGACAGCAGGGTAAGAGCCTCCAGTGGCTGTCAGCTGGTCTTCAGCAATAACACACTCTGTTTCTAAATGTTTGTAAACTCAGCTCATGTAGCAGTGCCCAACAGCTACAACACACATCAGTGTTGTAAAGTGACAAAAAAAAAAAAAGAATATTTTTAAAGATAAAAAATAAACTTTAAAAAGGCTGCTGTTTTCAGTTCAATTGAATCTAAGAGACAACAGTGGAGACCTGGTGAATGTCTCATGGGCAATGCAGAGCAGGTTTTGAAGGAGACTGAGAAAGGAGAGAGCTGGAGATAGGTGCTGGTGCAAGGAGCTCAGTGGAGCAATTTTACTGCCTTCACCAGCAACAACGTGTAATTGTATCTGGGGAAAAAAAGCATGTGTGGTGCTCCCTGTTACAACATGCTGGCTCAATGTTTCATTTTCTATTAAAAAAAAAAAACAAACACACACTTTTGTCTATACAAAAGCATAAAAATTGAAAAAGAAGGATTGAAATCATCATCCAGAAGACGAAGACAATTCCTGGCACAAAATGGCAGCAATACAAATGGCCACCGCCAGACAGCTCAACCTTCCCTCCACATTCAGGATGCCAGAAGGCAGCTTGCAAGCAAGCAAACAGGCAGCTGTGGCTCTGTAACAGAACCAAGAGCAGCACACAGAGTGCAGCACACCTCCAAAGCACCATGCCAAAGCCATGGCAGCAGGCTGACAGCTAAATGGACTGCACCTGTAGCATTTCTCTTTCTTTTCTGAGGATTCCAACTACCACCCAAGACCACAGAACACATCTCAGATAGTCCTTCTGGATGGTCATGCGTGGAGGCAGGAGATGAACTCGATGCTCACAGGTCCCTTCCACCTCAGGGTATTCCCACAGGCATCACCACACGACTTCACTGCTGCTGCCAACCCCTCGTGCCCATAGAGTTCCACGTGCACCGAAGGTAAGCACCCACACAAGGTGCTATGTAAGCTTACCCATGTGAGCTCCTGGAGGACACGAGCACAACCATGAACTGCACAGAGGAAGCCGAGTGTTTTTCAAAAGGTTATTCATATTTTTCAAGCCCTTTTCATTAAAGGACAAGAGCCACCATCAATTCCAAACTACAGCCAAACAAGCACTCATTGTATTGTCAAAGGAGGGCTTCTTTTAAAGATATTTTTAGCAAAAGGAAACTCAGTGAAATTAGCCAGTTCTGCCAACCACTTCCATTTTCCAATGCTGCTCAAACTGACTTCCTGTCAATATTAATTGACATAAAGCCATTCAATTGACATAAAGCCATTCAACTCTGATGCGCTGGAGAACTTGGAAAATGGAGTAAGGTTCCTGCGTGGTGCAGCGCATAAAGGAAAATGCAACTTTTAGAGAATATAATCCTTTTTCTGTTCTGAATATCTTTTCTTAAATGTAAAAATCTTTGTAAACAGATACAAATAACCAGCCCCAGAATTTTGATTCACCCCTCCTGGAGCCAGGCACACAGAACCCAAAGTGCTCCTATTCTCCTGATAGCTTGTAACTGCTGAAGTTACAGAAACAACTGATTGTTTTTCTGTCCAAACTGTGTCACCCCCCTCAGCTGCCTGAAACAGCAACACACCTACCTTGTACATACTGAAATATACAAGTAACTGAAGCAGATTTCTGTATCCCTAAAAAACACAACCTGAAACACTCAAGCAACAATTGCTTCATAAGAAGCACACTGAAGTAGGAATAGTAACATTTGCAATCATAGGAAGACTAAACCTGAAATCACCTGCAACCTGGTAAATAAATACTGCTTCCTGGATGTTATCTCATACAAGATGCTTGAGCAAAAGGATCTCACCCAGCTGCTATTCAGGGAAGGCTGTACAAGACAGAACTGTGTCCTACCTGCCATTGCAGAACAATTTTACCTCCCTACCCACACACACAAAAATACATATATACACATATACACTGCTAATATCACCTCCCAGGTCAGCAAAGATTTCCCTCCATCTTTTAAATGTCTTTATATGTATTTAAAGGCAAAGCTCTGGCCCTAAAAGCTAACAACAGACCTGTCAGCAATTCTTTAGGTTTCCCAGATCTCCAGTAGGCTTGATTCATATAGTATGAAAGCCAAGACCTCCAGAGGAAGAAATAGAGAGAAATGAGAATATATATATATATATATATATATATATATATATATATAAAATGAGAAATTATTTATGTAATAATGAATTTATCTCATGGAACAGGAATGATTTTTCTCTTTGTTCCAGTTGTACTCAACCAAACCCAACGAGGCACATGCCACAGCTCTGGCTTTTCAATCCAAATCACAAAGATCACCGAATATTAAACGTGCCAAAGAAATAAGGAAACAGCAAACAGAGTTGGCAAACAGTGATTGCATCACACAGCAATTAAAAAAGAAATAAAAAATAAATTTGAGGTGGTAAAACTGCTCTAGGAAATTTTGATCAGCCAGAAAGGGTGGCTTTTACCAACAAGGCAGAGTTCTCGTGCTGCCGAGTAATTGCAGCAACACCTGTTAACTCACAAAGCATTGAAGAAAATCTGTTTCTTCATGTACTTGCCTTTCACTTAGAAAGTGTATCAGAAACATCACATCGTGTGCTACGCCACAAGCACAAATAAGCCGTGGATGAAACTTCAAGTTTGGCCAAAGTGGCTACAAAGACTTTCCATTCCCCACACCGCATATGCAAAAAATGATGGCCACTGCTTTCATTTCTAAACCCCAAAATCTGAAGCCAACTGGTCCCTTGCAAACAAAGCAAATTCCCTCCTATGATTTATGAGCTTCAAACATCTGACCTACAGAGTTTTCATCTGTGTCAGTGCATTTGAGCTCTGCTGCTGCAGCCACACAGACCAGCCGAGAGCAAAGTGCTGACTCAGCCAGCAAGCGGTTGCACTGCTCCTTGCACACAAAACCTCATTTCGAGGTACACAGACAGCAGAACAACGAGCCAGCATGCAGCCACAGATCAGAGAGCAGCCCAATCCGTATCAACAAAAAGAGAGCTCCTGAGAGATGCTGGTCAGACACTGCTTTGTTTTTCTTCTTTGGATAGAAAACTCCTTCATGTCAGAGCACGGGACTGTCAACAGCAGCAGCACAACACTGCAATGGTTGCCTTATCCCACAGAGAAAGGGAAACTATTAAATTCGCCTCCATCTCGTAAGCAAACAGCCAGCAGATGGTAGCTTGCCACCTGTCTGTCTCTCCTGCTTTCAGTACACCTGCAGGTGATCCCACGTCCCCCCAGTCCTTCCACACGCAGCCCTGTGGCAGGCACAGACCACAGCTGCCCACCAAGCCTTTTGGGATATCCTAAGTGTTAAAGGACCACAGCCAAGTCCATTCTGCCTGCCTGCACCTTCCATGCACATGGACAGCTGAGCAACTTGAGTTTGCACTTGAACAAAACCTGCAGGTATGGGGGGAATAATCACACCAGCATCGGGGCAGAGCAGGGACAACAAACCATTTTACAAAGGTTTCCTTATATCTTACTCATGGTTCTTAAATCTGTACATAAATCTGTAACTGTGGGCACATAATTACACATCAATTTGCAGTTAGAGCCAAAGATACTATGAATGAGCAACTCACCTTCACCAGGTGCTCAGATGCCAATCACTTTGTACTGCAAGAACAAGGCACATCTCCCAGGACATCCCACCCCAGAGTCCTCCCAGCCCAGCCCTGCAAGCACCAGGCACACAGATGGTGATGTCGCTTACAAAACTTCTGAGCTCACCTGCTCACTGACTGTGTGCTTGCACTCAGTGCCATGTCACATACCAAAGTCCAGACCTACCACGACAAAAAAGGCCACCTGCTAGCAGATCGAAAACCATCCACACCTTATGTTCCTAGGGATAATCTTTTGTGCCCTGCCTTGGAACATATCTAACTAGTACAAAAATATACATACCGTGATTCACGCTGCATGCTCCAACACTACTTTTAATGAAGCATTTGCTCTTTTTCTCCTTTACAGGAAAGAAAAAAAAAAAACACTAGTTGTTAGCCAAGTTATAAAACGCCATTTCATGTTTGCAGAAATAGATTCCAAGAGCAAGTACAAAGCATTCTGCTAACACCACGAAGCAGCTTATTTTAAAAAGCAAAGAGGTGCCAGTCCCCCCACACAGACCTTTGGGGCTGCATGTCCCATTTCCAGGGGAACTCCTGGTGCCAGCAGGCAGTGCAACCCTGCATAGGATGTGGAATGTCAACGTCTGAACTTGCTCAATACAGCACGCTTCCTGGTCTTAGCACATGTCCTGAAAACTAGACATTCGTAAAAGGTTATCCAAAATGGTCATCAGACTAGGAAAATCCAAGAGCAAAATAGGAATGAATTCAGTTAATATGAACTAGGACTGAGATATGTGAATAAGAATAAGCAATAAGCAGCATCTCCTTTACCTGTGGGTTATTTCATTTCTGCAAGTGTACAAATTCTGCACCTATGGTCATACACTATCTTCTATAAAAGCGAATGGTAGAATCCACCCACTACACTCATTTGATCAAAGGTTACTTTGTTGTGGCAAAAGCCAACATCTTCCCACAAAAAGCTCCGCTGTCACCATCACGCAGCACACAGATGCTATAGTTTCTCATTGGCAATTAGTGGTCCTTAGAAGGCAGAAGTGGTCCATCACAGCTCCTCATCAAGTCCTACAAGGATTTGTAGACAGGACGAAGTCTGTCACTCACTGCTTTGTTACAAACAGCACAGAAAATGCCATTGGTGCCACCAGAGGGGATGGTGCAAGCTTTAAGCCAGCATCAAGGATCTTCTTTCCTATTCATCATCTCCTCTTTGCAATCAAGACAACACATCAAAATAAAACCATACAGGAGACAAAACAAGAACGATGGGCAGGAGAGAAAGTAAACACACGATGCAACAATGGAGTGATGTATTCTGTATGAACTTACATTACGTTATCTTACAGAAATAGTAACAACCACAAATCTCAACTCAGCTAAATCAGCATTTCTCTATTACTACCTAGGGTAGCATGCTACCCAACTTTCTACCAGCAACACAATTACCTTACAAAAAAGCTAAATTATTGGTTTTCTTACCATTTCTCCTCATTTCTTTGCCTCTGAATTTGATCCAGTAAGTTTGCTCATCTTTTTCAACATGCTTTTATGTAATAATTATGACCATTTTGCAAAGTTCAGTGCTGGATGACTCTCAGTCCTTGCATTTTCTGACCATAATTAGTGACTCTGTAAGTCACAAGATCCCTTTGCAGAGGGTTACCATGCTAGGAAAAGAGCCTATCTGAAAATCTACTTAAAAGGCACTTTTAACGTAATCCTGAAGATGAAAAGGAATGAAGTCTGCAAGAACACAGAACATGAAAAGCCAAAGCCACAATAAGTACATATGGCAGTTTGTTACTGCACACTGTCTGGCCCTCGTTAAATTTTTTTCTAGCTGAGATAATTTGCAGTTCTTGATGTTCAACTAAGAGAAAAGCCTGGATTTGTTTGAACACCTTGTATAAATATAACTCGTGTAGAGAAAAGGACATACGCAGTACGATTCACTTTCCAACCAACATACATGAGTTTGGAAGACAAGCAAGTGTCTGGTAGAGTCCAAAAAGTACGTATTTACCTACAAGTTTCCAATTATAAATCTCCTTGCTTTTAAAAGTCATTAGCACATCTTGCAGCGAACTTGCTCTCAGAAAATAGAACTCTCTGAAAAGATCTGCATTCTTCCCATAGAAAAGGGAACAACCATAACTGGAAACAAATTCACTCCCATTTAAATGTAACATTTCCACCTCATTTACAACTAAATGAAATAAAAATTATTTGAAAACTGCTTAATCATGAGTTGGAGTTGTTTCCTTCAGAATGACATTTTTCAAAAGTTCATGCTATTTAAAATTACAGGGAAAAAAACAAAAAATACAAGTCAGAAAAGTTTAAATGAAGAAGATCTACCCGTCTTCCCCCACTCCTGTTTAACCAATATCTTTGCAGTGAGATTTTTCTGGTTGTTTTTGTTATCTGACCATGTCAGACAAACGCATTGGTGAAATTCAGGCTAACTTTTGTACTCTCCTATCTATTATTGTAAAAGAGTGCTGTGCCTCAAACATCATTTGTAATACTCTCCTCTCTTTTTCCAGCAAACACTCGCCCTGTCATGATGCGAGGGACCACTTCTACTTTCCAAGTACTCACACTGAGATGTAAGAACCACTGACTGCCAAAGAGAGATAGGACATTTTTTCCCTGACATACGTGTGCCTGCTCCAGCTAAGTTCTCACTTGCAGCTGCTCCCTGTATTTCCACCATTTGTATTCATTCTGTTCACCTGGGCTCCCCAAAGCCTCAGATGGGTGCTGCACTATGCCCCTCCTGTCCTCTCCCCATGTTGCACAGCTCCAGGACTAAACGACTCCCACATTCCAAGGGACAGCCCAGCATCCTGTGACATCTCTGGGAATGGAACTCAGCCACAGCTGCAGAAACACAGCAACTCTTAAGATACCTTGGGGAACCTGGTAAATTAGCAGCACCACACAAACGTAGGCTCATTATACACCACGATAAGGTGACGCAGAATAAAATTGTTCCCAAGGCTTTTCCAAAGCTTTCAAATGTTTTCCCCCCCCAAGAGCAAAGCAAAATTAAATATAATGGCATAAAGTAGTGAAAGACTATTTAAGCAAATAGATGTATATTATGGGTGGCTCAGGTAGCACCGTGTGGAGCTATACACAGCCAGTGCTCTCTATGGTGAAAGCTCTTTTAAGTGCACTGACCTTTTTTAGACTTCACTCCTCAAAGCAGATGCTTACTAGTAGCTGCCCGCCAATCCTTGAGGCTTTAGGCTGATTGTTTTACAGTTCTGGCTTTTTCACTGTTTGGGGGAAAAGACAGCAGAGGGACATTACTCGGTTCAGGGGGTTATAAGACCAAAGGCTGCTAAAAGCACGGTGTTCATATTGAACATAATGTTAAAATGATTTCACAAAATCCTATGGTGTACTATTGTTTTATATCAGGGACTTGCAATTTGCTAAGAAGTCGCCTCATGCAGTGCTGAATTTCACCACGTTCACTTCGGGCCACCTCAAAACCTGTAATAAGAAAGCTGCAAGGAATTCCTCTGGCAACAAAGGACTGAATATTTCATAAACCCTGAGCCTGTTTCACCTCCTCAACTCCTACACACCTATTTCTTTTGATATAAGGCATTCCCACAGAGCAAGTCAAAGGCACAGTGGCTCAACAGACCCTTCCTATATGGCTGAGAAGTGCTCTCCTACCTCCAGGCTTTCTGTGGGGTCACAGCAGCTGCGTCAAGGAAAAAAGCACCAACAGTCTGCTGGAGAAGCAGGAGGAAAGGTAACAGCCTTAAGCTGAGACAGGGGAGGTTCAGGTTGGATATTAGGAACAATTTATTCTCAGAAAGAACAGTGAGGCACTGGCATAGGTTGCTCAGGGAGGGGGGGAATCATCATTCCTGGGAGTGTTCAAGAACTGTGGGGATGTGACACTGAGAGATGTGGGTTAGTGGGCATGATGGGGGTGAGCTGATGGTTGGACTGGATGATCTTAGTGGTCTTTTCCAACCCTAATGATTCTATGACTCTGTGGAGCAGGAGCATGCTGTAAAACGTAGGCCTGGAAGCAGCACATGGAGCAGGAACGGGGACAGGGCATGGAAGGAACCAGAAGCCACACCTAGGAGGGCATCACAAATATAAAATTGTCAAGACAGCAATCATCCCACAAGTCAGTCCTGCACAACACTCAATAAAGGGGTCTTACAGAAGGCAGGTGCATGCAGTAACTGAAGAGCATTAAGCACTCCAACAAGCACAGGCACCTAAAGCACCAGAGGCCATCTTGCTCACACCTGGCTAACTTTAAGTACTTCACACTGCCAACCTAACTGTCATAACTTCTGTCATAAAGGTAATTCTATTCAGTTTTTACTTAAAAAAAAAAAAAAACATTTAACACTAGCATCATAAAAACAAAGACAACATCTGAATTTCTTATATACATATATATATATGTATATATATATATAGGTGGGTTTTCCAAGACTTAGGTTTTAGCTGCTATTTTTCGTTTGATAAGCAGGACATTTATCAGCTAATGAGCTGAATACTGTTCTGCTCATAACAAGCAGCCTGGTTAAAAGATTATTTCATGCACTATCAATTCTGGAAAACACGATAAATTGGGTATCTTCACAGGAACAAGATGTTTTCCTTCAAAAGGAAACAAAAAAGAAAGAAAGAAAGAGAGAGAGAAGTAAACCAGTGCGATCCCTTCCAAACAGATTCTTCAAAATCTGTTCAGATGAGGCATCGTTGTTTTTTTTTTTTTAATGACATTTTTATTAGAAATTGTGAAAAACATGATTTCTGCTTGCCAAAAATCAACTGCATGACACTGTCTTTAGTATGCTTGAAAGCTCTGTCTACTGCAAAAGCAGAAAGTAGCAGCAATATTCATCTAAAAAAAGTCATGGGAAAAAAGTCAGACAAACTGAATTAATACTACAGGTGTTATGCAATAATAAGCTTCATCACTTTCTAATGAATTAAATAAGATAATGGAAATTAGAAAAACTGACGAAAAGACAGCCAGGCTGAGAGCTGCATGGAAACTGAGAGCTGCTATAGCAGAACAGAAAGCACAAACCTTGTTCTGCATGCCTGTTTATACCAGATGACATCCTTGCACCTTATTGTCCTTCATAACAGCAAACAGATGTCATCGACAGAGGTCTAAATAACCCACCAAGGAATCACTTGATCAGTCTGCAAGCATCTTACAGTTGTAAAGCAAAGGAATAAGGCAAATGCAACCTCTACAGCTCCTCAGGCACAACACAGCATCCCCAGACATGCTTTTTCTCTGCCATCCACATCCCAGGAACACAACAAGGATGCAAGGAGAACACCTGGAGATGCAAAAAAGAGCTCCTTGACAGAAAGAAAAAGAACCTGAACTTCTATATATATATATAAATTATATTGATTGATTTTAACAAATACTTGATACCTGCGTGTCCTTTTTTTACTTAACCATTCCCCAAATAGTGGGAACAGAAGAGAAAAAGACACAGAATGCCACTTCCAAGGAAGATGGAGAGGACAGGTCCCTATGGCAAGAAAGACACTTATCTGGGTTTCCCCTCTGGAATCAGAAGTAATTGCAAATAGTAATTGTTTGATTACTTTTGGGGGACCCAATTTCAGGTGCTGAATGAAAGGGCGGAGAAAATGAGCAACTTAACCAACAGTGATTACTTGAGTGTAGTGATAATGAGGCAAAACAGAAGTGCAACATTTGAGTATTTCATGGAAGTTACACAGCACTTTTTTCCAAGAATAAAACGCGAGTGCATCCTTGCACTCAAACCAAAAGCAAGCACAAAGCAGTTTGAGTTCTTTAACTGAACTTCAGTAGGAAGAACAGCCATTCGCCATGGTTAACTCCAAGAAAAAAAATAGTCTGAGAATACTGCAAGAAAATGCAATCATGCTTGGTTAAGGGGTTATTTTGAGCCACTAAATGCTGTGATTTAACTGAAATTAACTATTAATTATCTAGTAACTACAATGTTTTCTAAGGAAAACTAAAGCAAGTAGAAGCTGCAGCCATAACCCAACACCTACCTAACATCTCCTGGAGCTTCCTTTTCATTTTTCAAGCACCAGGACAACAGCAGACTGCTAAGCTTAGGGGATGGATCAAGCACAGAGGAAAAAAAAAAAAGAAAAAAGAAAAACAACCCAGTCCCAAACCACAAAGAAAGTTTCAGACGTTTCCAGAGAGCAAGTTACAATGAGTATGTTTCAGCCTCAAATTCTTATTTCCAATAGACACAGAAATAAAGGAGCAAATCTGAGCAGAGCTAAAAAATGCCATTTGTTTCAACTATAATTTCCTTTCTTAGAAGCTTTCGTTTCATTAGTCACTATTTCTAGATAATTCTTCAAATATTAAAAGAACCTGCTTAAAAGGCACCTTACTTCTTCAGAAATCACTATGTTCCACCACCAAAAAAAAAAAGAAAATAAAATCAGGGAGCAACCCACAAGTGATTCTGACAAGCATCACAGCCCAGCACATTGCAAAATCACCTTCTTTTCTCCCCTCTTCCTTTTCTTTTTTAATTACAACAGCGTCAGCATATGAGAACACGTCACACTAAAGAACAATTACAGACAAATGAAAAGCTTGATTTGAAAGAACCAAACAAATTCCTAATTACTCCACCCTGTGATCATATGGTTAAGAAAGAAAAAATTTCTATTACTTTTCAATGTTAGGCATTTTATTTACACCAGGCTGTGAGCACTACAAGTGCTACGAACTGTACTGCTAACACCCAAAGCCAGACAGTACTTTCAGATATGCAGTGCTCTGATCACGTTAGGTGAAGGATCATACAGCTGTCCCCTTGATCTGACTGATAACAGAATGCAGTGCTCAGGAGCTGCTAGTTAGAGTTTGACAGCAAGAAAAATCAGAGTCTGAATGAATGCTACATTTGGAGCTGCGGAATTACCATCTCTACTATGGTAAACCTTCTATGAGAGCAGCCACCTTAAAAAATCTGAACAAAAAGGAACGTTTCCAGTGTTAAACTGACCATTTGCTTCTGGTAAGTGAAAAGCAGCACATGTTTGTAGTGAATGAACACATACACACACCTGCAGCACACATGGAACAGCCAACAAAGTGCAACTGCAAAAATGTAAACTTGTTAACAAGTTCCTTAGTCTCTCATCTAGTCCATAAAATAGTTTATACTACACCAAGTTTAAATTAAAATCATAACAAAAATAGATAGGCAAGGCTGTCACCCTCCCCATCCCACACTGCTTGAACAACGTGCTCTAAACTTGCTGCTGACAGGGACACAAAGGTCTGAGCGCTCACTTTGCGCCCTGTGCCGAAATAGGCAGCAACCTGAAAGTCAGTCCTCGAACTCCTCCAGCCACACACAGCCTGTGCACAACTCTGCAGCATCCTTGCTCACCATCTCCAACTGTGGCAAAGTCACAGCTTTGCCAGTGAAAGAGCATGACAAGAGAAGCTCACATCATTATTTAATGCCTTCTCTAAACAGCAAGCTAATAATCAGCAGTATTTTGAAGTCAGAACTTGCATACAAACCCTCTCCTTACTTCTGTTTGAAAACTCTACCCACCCAATGGGCTCACAGACAATAACTTCACGGCTGAAGGTTCCAACATTCCAGTTACTTGCAGCAAGTTGGGGACACAACCACTCACTCCTGGTCAAGGTGCAGGGAGGCTGTACACATCGCTTTGTCCTGAGATGCGGAAACACAGACGGGCAGCTGCAATGAGGAGCTTTCCTGCTCTAAATTCACACCGTCTGATCTTGCATTAACTCATCTGGCCAT